TACACGTGAAAGAAATGTGAATTGTTATACGTTCACCTGGCCATACGCCACTTCGGCCATGTTCAGAAACTTTCAGCCCTCCAGCCACTTCAATTCCTAAGTTACAAAACTGTCCACATGGAATCTCATGTGTCCGCATATGAGGTGCAGAAGGGCTGGAAAGCTGAATCTACTTTCACGAGCACATCAGTGGGCTACAAGCAGTAGTGTAAGATTATAGCCCTCCACAACTTTGTCAGCATAACTCAGTTTAAATTTAACTTGTCGTTCGAGAGACTAAGGGGTTTGAAGACTGAATTTAGAATCTTTGAGCTAAACGTGAACAGGGGACATTCTCACTAAGTCTCAGACCTCTAATCTGTTGCATGCTTCCCGAAATCGCTTTCCCACCAAGAAATCTTTAACGTGCTCATGCGTGAGAAACACGTGGGCGCAAGCGTTCATTTTGAGGACAGGGACCTATATGTACACGTAGATCAAGTTGAAAGTTTCAGCCTTGTAGTTTTTGTAAGTCTGGAGAACAAAGCTCGGTACAGATGCATACACAAACATTGGCGGATCCAAGGAGATGAGGAAGGGGGAGGGGAAGGGAGGCCTTTTGCCACCCCTCTTCCCTTTCAGGGGCTCAGGTAGCAGCCGTTTTACTGTACAAAAGTCTGTTCGGTACCCCTTGTGGCCTTCCCCTCCCTCCTCTCCCACCCCTTCCTTCCTCATGAGTCCTGTCACTCTCTGTTTAGTGTCCATCAGCAAGAGCTGAGGAAGGAGAGAGGGAATGAGGTAGCGCGACGACCGAAGGGTGGGTCGCGAGCTGGCTGAGGGGAGAGGATGTGGCGACGAAAAAAGAAGGGAAGATGAAAAATGGGCCTCTCTCCCTCCAACAGACCGCCCTGGGTCCGCCTATGCGAAAAAGAAAATGCTTTTTGTGCGTTTTTGGATCTTGCGAAAAACGCACATAAAGCATCTTCTTTTTTTAGTAAAATCTTGTGCCGTCTCTTTTCAGAAAATTTTTAATCTCTCTTTCCTTAAAGAACTCCTATCCACGATCTTATTTTATTCACCTACTGAAATAACAGTGCGGAAATAAATTATTTGCAAGCTGCCTTATCAATGACAAAATAGTTTGTACATATCTACTTAGATGAAGCTGAATCTTATTAAAAATTATTGGCGACGCGCACCAGACCGGCTGGTGCTATCATGTGTTTTTGCATTATTTCATACTGTAGTATAGCTAGTAGCTAGAATTTAAGAGGTTCGAAAAATTAATTGTGCAGCTACATGGTATGTCAGTTTTCGATGTCGACTTCAGCAGCCCAATTGCCCCCATGGCCCAAATCGCAAATTAAATGGATTCCAGCCGCGTTCCCACTGTAATTGTTAGAACTTAGGTTGAGTCCGGCCGGCATTCAAAGGCGCTCTCGCTTCTTTATTAATGCTATTTTGGTCACCACGATGCCAACGAGCGCTACTCAGCGCTCGGTAGCTGGATGACGTAGTGGATAGAAAGTTGGTCTGGAGGGTAGTGGATAGAAGGTTGATCTATGGTTCGGGATGGTGGATAATGGGTGTTCATATGTCGCTCCAGAAACAGGAACTGGAGAAGGGATAGAACAGGACAAACTTTCACATGCTCGTACGTGAGTGCCACGCGTACCCGGGTGCCGAGTTTAAAATCTCTAAGTTATACTTGGACGAAGAACATTCCGCTAAAATTTCAGCCTTTCTGTTTCCCGAGCGGGCAATTTTCCCGCCAACACTTCCTCAAGCTTTCAGCCTTATAGCTTTTTTGATCCGTGATATGGCAATTTTTACGTCAAAATTTCCACTTGTTTTCACGTGTCCACTATGGGGCTGAGTATGAAATCTTTTGGTCGTACATGAGTAAGGAACGTCTCTTCAAAATTCCTGCTTTCTGTGTTTTTCTCCCAATTTACTAAATATCACATCAAAATTTTCACATGCCCGTACGTGAGACCGGACTGACTTAGGAGCTGAATCTGAAATCTTTTGGTGTACATGAGTAAGGTTTTTCTCGCCTTCTAGCTTTTCTTTCACAAGAAGCTTGACGTTCCAGCTTTTCATTGGCATCTTTTTCGCCAAAAATTCCACGTGTCCGTACGTAAGACGCAGGCATATTTGATAGTTGATATTACTTTCTTGGAGATGCACTCGGCCGGGGGATACACTAGCAAAATTTCAGAGTTAAAACTTGCGTGGTTGCTAGGCAAAAATACCCGGACAAACGAATACACAGACACACACACACACGCACGCAAACACATGAGGAGCATCGTCGCAATATGTGTTTTTGCTGCCTGTTGCAGCGCTATAGCGCTGCACGCAAAAACGCATAATGACCTTAGCCCTAACAGTTCTGGAAAAAAATTAGACGAAAAAAGCAATAATAGCGGAATCACTGGAAACAAGAAGAAATGGTAACTAACATAGACACAAAAGTAAACAGCCAGGCTGCTTAAAGGATGCAGCTCCCCACTTGGTCCGATCCAGTGTCCAATCCTATCCAGTGAGCATCCTCGTTCCGTCACGTTAGATAGCATGAATGTGCAATTAGAAATGAAATCTGCCAATGTTTCGCGGAATGTTAGCTAAAAATCATTTCTGATCATTTTCCAAATTAACTGAGGGTTACCAGGAACTGAACTGATTGTGCTTTGTTACAAGCAATCAAGATCAAAAACGCACAACTTCAGCGCAATAACTTACATATATTCAAGTTAGTCTCAAAACTAGCTTAGGCAATAGCATGTGGCTTCACAACAACAATCAGCTGTATACAAGGCCGCCTATGTCACTTCAGCCGTGGTATTCGTTGCGTGCTAAGTATGACATTATGACTAGCTATTATTTCACCCACAACGGTTTCCTTTTCGCTACTGATACAGCTGGCAACTTCTCCATTGTTCTCTATTTTGAGTCTTCCTCCTCCACATAACTTTATAAAGTCGTTTAGACGGGCCTTTATCATACTGGTTGCTATCTTTACTTTCTTTTGATATTATGCGGGTGGCAGTCATTAATTCGCTTTGACCATTTGTAGTTTCTCATTTTTATGCATTTTTGCTGTGCAGCGCTATAGCAGCGCTATAGCGCTGCTACAGCCAGC